GATCTGACCTTCATCTGAAACAAACCGTCATCCGATCCGTCGTATGAATTTTTATCCGATCGCTCAAATTTATCCGATAGATGACGGATATCCGAATTTAAAACGGATAATCAGTTGACAGATTGTAACTCTAAATACAGGAGGGACTCAATATCGAAGGCAATCCTATTCTAGAGGTGGAACTTAGGAGCTATAAAGCTTCTAGCGATATATCACTTGGGGAGATATTTAATCTGCTTTTATATTTAGAAGAGGATATAATTACAATTCAGGAAGAACTCAATATTGTTGGTTATACTAATCAAGAAATGGCGGAAGAGGCCGATAAAAATGCAAGATCATATTTCCAAAAGTTTGAGAAGTTTCACGGTCCCCTAGAAGATGTTCCAAGTGTGCTAATACAGAAATTCATCGATAGGGGAGTAAAAATGTTTTATTTTACCAGAGAGGGACTACCATTATTTCCGAAGGTCTCTCCTCAACAATTGCACGAAATATTCGTCAAAAATCCAGCTAGCGCCGGTCAGTGCCTATGTCTAGAACAGGTTATCTGATCTATATTTTTTTGTCACATGTGAGGCTTAGCAAAAAAATCTTCTTTCAAGCGAAATGATCACCGCTCCGGATTAGTTAGATTGGTAGAGTACCACTCTGCTTGATTGGCTAGTATTCCATTAATAGCTCTTGACATTATAAAGGTGGAAATAATACCTTAAGTCGGTGAATGTATAGCTATAGATGAATTGGAATTAGGTCGCCGGTATATCTGAGATAGAACCGAATTCTGGTTATTACCAACACTATGCCAAGTGTTATATAGCCCTCTTATCTCTTGATCTAATTCAGCTCGCATATCCATAGAATTCATGAAATTCTCGACATGGATATTTGGATTAAGTGAAACGAGCTGATCTATGGCTTCTTTGGTAATATTAGCACATCCCTCCAGATTAAGATATTTTAAATTAAGACACGAATGAGAAATTTCTTTGATAGTTACATCAGTAATTCTACAAAAACTAAGGTTGTGATGTTGGAGATTTGGACAGGAATGAATGGCATTGCAAATTGATGTCTCGGCAACGTAAACACAGCTACCAAAATCAAGAAACTCTATACTAAGACGTTTCTCTACTAATATATCACCTCTATTTTTTCTTCGACAGCTAGCCGAAATACTGAATCTTCATAAATTCGGGCATGAGTTTAAGATGTGACTTATAGATGTTTCAGTAATCAAATGTGCACAAGCAAAATGGAACTCTTGTAAAGCTTGGCAACTGCTGCAATTTCGATTAAAGATCTACCAGTAATGCCCTGGCAGAAAGAAATATTTAGATATTCTATTTTACGACATGATCGTGTAATTCTACATAAAACTTTATCACTCATAATACCGCTACGACATAAATTAAGATATCTTAGATTGGGGTATGCTTTAAGCCGATAAAATGCTCTATTACTAAAATCCACACAATTTTCGAAATTCAAATAAATTATGTGTGGGCATGTTCTCACGATGCCTTCAATTTTCTTACTTGAAAGTGGATTATAGTGTGAAATTTCGAAATGGGTTAGTTTCGAGCTATAAATTGGCTTTTGATTTCCACATACTAATTCTATGAATTTCTTTGCTTTGGGATCGTTTCCCTTTAGCTCAACACGCTTCCATAAAATAGGAGCACCACATCTGTACCACAATCGGGAAACATATAGAGAGGGATAGAGGGATTTATCTATCAATAAGAAATGTAAAATTTGTTCTAACAGTTCTGGTATAATAAAAATGCTTGTATGCGCTATAAATAATATATGCTGTATCTTTAATCAAAAAAATAAACTAGCTGAGTCTGATGGTCTCAAAGAGACTCCCGCTGGTAGATCACTGCTCCAGACTGATCGGACAGATCTTTAATCCTAGATGTTTCGCATAATCTATGTAATATAATTTGAAAAAAAATGCCCTGCATAGTAATTGATAATAATGAATGCGCATCATACCCTAGCATTACCCGAACTACTAGAAGTTATCTTTGCATTTCTTAGTAGGAAAGACCTCTATAGGAGTTGCACTAGAGTAAATAGACAATGGAATTCTGTGTCTATGCATATTATTCGGGAGAAAAGAAAAGCTGAATTCATTAGCATCCCCTATATTCGTGATAATATTCTTCTTCATGTATATAATGGTCCTCGTAATAATATTGAATTTGATAAGTATCTTGATGTATCTAAATTATGGGGATGTAAACTTAGTTATTTGTATGTAAAAGATTTCTATCTTAATATAATTCATGTTCATGATCAGTTCTTAAATTCTGCTCGTAACATTACAAGAAGTCTCTTATTTTATAAAAAAAGACAGCTTATACACTATTTAAATAGAGTACCCCATTCTTTAAAATATGGCCCTGAACTCGTCAAGTATTATCAAGATATCTTATCCCAATATGATATTCGAGGTGAATTTCTTAGGCAGTCTAAAGCCTTCCGATCCCTTAACTATAAGTCAAGCATCCAGAATGAATTTCGTAGGATGAGCAGAGTCTTCAGGTCTATTAACTAATTATTCTTATTTTTTACTATATGCATTTTTCTTCCGAATCTTTCCTTTGGGCTTGGCGCTTCTGAATCTTTTTCCAAATCCTTTGATGCTTAATCATGTTTACTATTTCATCAATATCAGAATCGGATGAACTGGATTCGGATGAGCTAGTCTCGGAGGAACTACCCTCGGCGGATGACGAACTAGACTCAGATGAACTACTCTCAGATGAGCTTGATTCAGATGAACTAGTCTCAGATGAAGTAGACTTGGGCGGGATATTGGTTAAGGCTGTCAAATGCTTTTGGTCACTTTCCATTTGGATTATTTATATGTTAAACTTAATATCTTTGATCAAAAATATGCAAAGTGCCTGGCTCAGCCCACTTCAAACTACCAACTGCTTAATCTTTCTCAGTCGTGCCTTCCTTCGTTGCTTATAAGGAATCAGCATTTTCTTTTCATTTATTTTTACAATTGTCTTAGCCGAATCAAATTCTTCGGAAGACTCAGACGAAGAGAGGGAACCCTTACTCCCTTTTAGGCCTTTTTTACCAATCAGTGAGGGAACTATTTTATATATTAAGTCGACCACAGTTTCTCTATCCACACATTCGTCCAGATCTTTTAATTTGTCTTTTAAGGATTCCACATCCCTTTCCAATCCTTTTACCCTCCTTTCTAAAGTATTATGTTAGGAATGATAATATTTCAATTCTTTCTTTAGCGCACTATTTTCACGGAAAAACATACTATATGCTTCTGCATTTTGCTCATTTAGTCCTAATGACTGGGCTATTTTTTCTGTACGCCTGATAACTTCCTGCTCGATAGCTTTACTATCGGATGAATGCTTTTGATCGGTTACTATTTTCGTGATATTTTATATATGATATATCTTGCCTCGAGCGAAAAAATAAAATTAATAAATGATATCAGACTGATAAATCAGTCCTTTCATCCTTCTGATCCATATACAGCATGTGATTAGTTTTCATCGAAGAGCTCACGTATCTGACGACGCTCTTTTTGGATTTTATTAGATTTTCGAATAAGCTCTGGATCCTTGGCATAGTTACTAATAATTTTAGGATCCACTCCGACTTTTGCTAATTTTTCACGAAATAAGTATTGGCGTGAGGCGAATGCTATAACTTCATTTTTATTATTGCTTTTTGGTCCTAATTCCATATTATGACGGAAAATATCCCATTTATTACCGGACTTAGTACAATATTCAACCCTTTTCTCTATAGTCAGTTTTTCCTTTCTCTTATCGGGTAGAAGAGCCTCTTTCTTCTCTTTACTATAATTGTACTTGGCAAGGAGGTCTTTAACACATTTGCGGGCATTAGAATTTTGTAGCAATGCATCAAGCTTTTTATTATGTTCACTTAATTGTTCTGGATTTGACTCAGCGGATAAGTCGTATTTTTCTAAGAACTGTTCTAGAATCGATTTAAAGTTATTCGTTTTGGGTCTCTTTCAGGCCTTTGGGGTTACTTTTGTGATAGTCATAGATTTGAAAATTGCGGGTAGATAGGATAAGGGAAAAAAATAATAATTTGGATTTTTATATTGCCTAGTTATAAAGAACAGAAGACCCTCTTACCTGACCACTTTGATTATAAGCCGACTTCTTATTCATTCTTTATCAAAGCATACCATTCTCCTGGAGTATGCTTATATTTTTTTGCCATTCCTCATCATCATAAATATACTCCCAGGATTTTCTCACATCCTCGAACTCCCAGAGATATATTTCTTCGCTTATTAGCCTTTCTCTTCTCATCATATAAAATAAATCGTTCAGGTCCATCTATTTTCTCTAGCAAATTCTATGACTTCTGCATCTGCCATCATCCTGTCTCTATATTCCCGAGATCAGTTGATGTCTTTTTCTGTGATAGTCATGAAGACATCTGGATCTTCACCGTGATCGGTGGCCCATTTTCTAAGACGCTCTTTGCGATAGGCTCTGGCAGATAATATTTCAATACTACCGGGTTAGGGTGCTCTCAATACTTTACTGGTCTGCTCGATGGATTTTAGGGGTTTGGTTTCAGGCTTATCGATTGCTGGCTCAGGTGGTTCAGAAATCTTAGAAGTCCCAGATGCCTCAGAAGTCCCAGATGTTGAGGCGACTGGAGCTTCGGCTTGTTCTGCCATATAATCGAAAAGTGCCTGGGTCGAATCATTCTGATTATCCACCTTCATACTACTAGAGGGTGATATATGCTTTGCGAGATTATTTTGGGGGGAGTAATTTCTGGCGCATTGAATATGGGTATGTCTGTAGTCGCATTTTTGGGTAAGTCGTCTTGAGGTATATCAGAAAATTCTTCCATATCACCTAGACCAGATTCATGAAGCTTAGCTATAATTTTAGGGCGATCAAGAATATATACCTATTCCCTTTTTCCACCACCTGTTCGCACTTGTTTACTTTCAATATTAATATCTGAGAATTTCTTGCCTAGGACGTTATTAAGAAATGGTTTTTCACCATTCTCTCCACACTATTCGAGATACTTCTGATATAATGATGTATGACTTGGTTTGGCTACTTTAGGTTCACATTGTGAACCAATATAGTCAATTATAAATTGAATGGGATTGGGGAGTTGGTTTCGCATTATTTCTACCTTCATTTTAATTACAGGGATTTCTTGTGGTTCAAATTCTGAGAGATCGCGACTAAGAAAATATCTCATGACTACTCCTGACACGTCAGGGTGGTCAAGTACATTTCCTAGTCTTTTGAAATATGCTTTATTACCCCTACAGCGTGATGAAACATTAAAACAGACTACACGAGAATCTCCTATATCTATCTTGATTGGAGCATCTTGATTGCTTGTAACCATATACCTGGCGAAATCTTTTAGTCGTTTAGATTCAAGACCTTTGCGCTCTATAGTCACTATCCCTTCCGTTATAAGAGATTTGAGATGCCCATTAAATCTATGCCAATCCCCACTAGACATCCCAGTCTCATTCATAATAATAAGCTTTCAAGCTTGAATGGCGCTATTAAAATGTCCAAGAATTTTCTCCAAATCTGATGTAGCATAATGGAGGTGTTCTCCTAGGACTTTGTCGCCAATAAAATTAGTAATAATGTTTTTCTCACACTGTTGTAATGCAGATTTTAGTACTAAGATTATTCAAGGCTTTTTCTGTGGTTTCTGTACTAAATATGCCTACCAATTCCAAAGATATTCGTGAAGCTTCACATTTTCATCACTGATTATATTCTTTGTATGCCAGAGAATAGGATCTATGATTTCTTTATTAATTTCTGGCGTTGGCTTAGCCAAAAATCCTAGGAATATGTTGAAGAAATCCGTAACTGGTTGGGAAGCATTTAGTGGGTATGGGAGGAAATTATAATCTTCATAAAGTATTAGACCTTTAGTATCTGCTTGGTCTATCAATGATTTTAACTTTATCGATTCCTCACCATATTCGATTATATTAATCTTGTAATCGGCAAGCTTTAGTTTAGATCCCATATCAAAGAAAAGCCCATTCTCTGCATCTTTACGCTTAATAAGCCATAATTTCGAAGTTCCTTATACGCAGGCAACTGTTGCTTAGATAGCTTCATAAACTTCAGCGTGGGAGAATTTCTTACCTGAAGTACACATGCGTAATAAGTCCCAAAATACAAATCGATCATTTGGATTCGTAATTCTGGGTTGTTCTAATTTTACTGGAGCTGGAAGTTTCCTTTCTCGATCTAAGGCAGTTTCGCTAATAGTAAGTTTTAATGAAGGTTTTTTGGAGCCAGGTTCCCTATCATTGTTTGCCTAGTAGCAGAAAAAGCTGTAGGATTTTTTATTTC